CTAAGTCGCCCTGACAACAAGAGCAAGTTGCCATAACGAGGTCAACCCACTTCTATCTTTTCAGTAGTTTAAGCTCGCGGAATGATTTTAAATTAAAGGAAAGCAAGCCATCCTGTGGTTCACATAATGTATATAAAATTCAGTATCTTTATTAAAAGTTATGTGCATAATAAAATTGCTCACTCGAAAAAATTCCTGTTTCATACCAGACACGGCGGCGTGCTTGGCGCCTAGAAGACACATCTTTGAATAAAATTCTGTATTGTCACGATTCACACTATTGACCGCCAGATTCAGGACACACATGAAGGCAAAACAATGCGCTCTGGCGCTCACATCGTTGAGTATCATATTTGGCTCCGTGTCACTGGAAATAAATAAGTGAGCAGATAGTAGCAAAAGTTTGGATAGAGTCAGATTTTTCCCATCGTTTATAAACTTTTTGGCATTTTCACCACTTACTTCCAAGGTTACGCATTGCCTGTACTTTTTATCGTGAGATTAACCATTATTTGAGAAGTATTTTTGCAAAATATGTCCTATTTTACCGATTTGATAGTCCGGCAGTTCTTTTTAGTTCTAGTTTTCTGCGAGTTCCTAGGCAAACTCAAATCATGGTATTGTAAATTCAGAGATGAAACATGGACTTTATCCTAATTTTAATAAATTTAAATTTTACTAGGCTATATAATGTGTTTAAGTTTCTAGTTTCGTTTCTTTATCTTCTTCTTCATCTTCTTCTTCTTTTTATTCTTCTTCTTCATCATCATCATCATCTTCTTCTTTTTCTTCTTCTTCCTTATCATCATCATCATCATCATATTCTTCTTTTTCTTCATCTTCATCATCATCATCATCATCATTTTCTTCTTCTCTTTCTTCTTCTTCTTCTTCTTCTTCTTCTTCTTCTTCTTCTTCTTCTTTTTCTTCTTCTTCTTCTTCTTCTTCTTGATGTGACCTCATTTGGGATGTACACTACATGGCAGCAGACGTATGTAAATGCTGAGTTGGGATGGGCCCACGTTTTAATTTTTTGATTTATGCATGTTTTG